TGGAAGGACAAGGGAACATCAGACTCGTTTTCCAGAAGGCTCCGGGGAAGCTGCTCTAGAGGAGCACGTTCTCTGAAGGAGCCTGCGAACAGGCGGTAGAGACTCTTCGAGTGTATTCTTCAGCTTTCCACCTGGTGGCCTCAGGAAAAAAAATTCCTATGGCAAAAACTGTCCAGATGGGAGACTGAATACAGGCGGATCCCTATAAGTCAGATCTACATAGTGAGACCCTGTAGACCCTGTACTAAATGCACACACACACACACACACACACACACACACACAAAAGGTCCAGAAACACAGTGGAATGTTGCTGATCATGTAGCGCCCAAAATGAATTTCTAAAGCAGAAGGTGATGGCAGAAGGGGAGGCAGGTCAGTACACGAACCATCCACAAAAGCTGTATCCCTTTGTATGACCACTTAGTGTGGCACAAATTTGGCAGCGGGATCTCCACCCCGCAGGCACACCAAAGGTGGGTGAATTAACCCTGGCTGCCTGTGGGGTCTGGGTGTGAGCACCAGAGCCCTCTGGAAGGCCATGATCTAGCTTCCAAGTAACCACAAGCCAACCACAAGTGCCACGGCATTCTTGTCTCAAATGCAGATTCAATTCCCCTTAGGAATTTGGTGACACTAAAGTGTGGGCACTCAAGGCATGGCACACCGTAAACTCCCACAAATTGAAAGTAGCGGTGCCGTTCCAAAAAACAGACCCTCTTCTGTCACAGAAGTGGGTAATAAGATGTTTCTAGTTGTCTCACTTGGTACTGCTAAGGGTGGCGGCTAGGAATGACCAATCAGGAACAGAGAGTTTGAGAAGATGAGGAAGGGCTGGAGCAAACCGTGCAGCCAAGCAAAGCAGCCGATAGAGGCAACCATCACCCCGCCAGGTAGGTGGGGGTCCTAGTACTGCGTGACTCTCTCCTAAGAACCAGGATAGGTAAGCACAGCCCATTCCATTACTGGCATGTGGATGACAGGGACTCAAATCCAAATGGCTTGTTTGGCCTCCATCTCCTAAGTAGCTCAGTCCATGGTGGAATGTGTGGAGGCCCACCTGAGCAGCTCTCCTTGAAAGAAGAGCGACTGTCTCCATTTTGGCTGAGCCTGACCCTATTTCCTCGGATTGTTATGCACAGAGCTGGCTAGGACTGCTGTTTATCCTTCAGTTGGCCTTAAGCAATGTGTATTGGTCTAGCTGAGGTGCTGGTCATAGTCTTTGAAGGTGGTGTGTGTGTTTCCCTGGTAACCTATATCTGTTGCTCTTTAATGTGAGCCAGGTTGAGACAGGACGGTAGAGCCAGTGCTCCGCACTGCCAGCTGGGATCGAGCCTCGAGACAGAGGCCTTGACTTCCTAGGGCTTGAAAGGCTACACCAAAGCTGAAGCACCAGACTTACCAAAACATTAGATACTATATACTGCAGATTGCTCTCTCTGCATATCCTCTCTGCATATCGCAGAGGTAAATGTAGGCCGCCCACCTAGCTCAGCTCATAGTGGTCTCTTTCCCACAATTCTCAGTCAATCCTCAAGCCACTCCCCCACTGAATAAAACTGGGCAAGGCCCTGGGTCGCTCTCTTGGTTCCAGAAAGCCATCTTCATGGCTAGACTTAGAGCCCCTTGACTCCCCGATGATTGAAGATATAATTTAATGTCTTTATTTTCGCCGTGGGTTGCATTGTAAGTGGTAAATTGGAATCAATTTGATGGGATTCCAATAATGTAACCTTGGGATTACAAATATTGGCTTCTTAGATTGAGACGAGGACCTGAAAGTGTCTCCTACAGGAATGTCTCTGTGCTCCTGTCCCCTGACTGAAGCCAATTTGCTCCTGTACCATTCATATGCCCCACGCAAGACCCTCCCCGAAGACTCTATCAGGTCTTGTAAATATAGCACAAGATTCTCCCCTCCACCGTAGACCACAAGCACCACATGACTGCGTTCGGTTCATCCCACCCATAGCTGGGCTCCAACATTTAGCAAAGACCTGGCACGCTGGTGCTTTTGAACAACATGCATTTCCTAGCTGTTCTGACAATGAATAGCAAGGACTCAGGTTAGAACCCTGCCCTCTTAGGGAGTACTGCTCGGGACAAGATAGACCAACCATCCCAAAACAGTGTGACAAGGACAAGGAGAAAGATCTGTTAGTGCATCACTGCAGAATGTCACATTCAGGGAAGGAGTCAGACCCAGGCAAGCGCTACACCTACTTGGGCTGTAGACTGTCGCGAGACTTCAGTATGTTTCTCAATGTCCCCGTCTGTAACCTAGAGATAGCAAATGCTCTGAGAACTGCCGTGCATATTACATTTGACTATGTGTGCAGAAGGATATCAAGCATAGTAGGTAATCAATAAATAGCCAACTTTTGTTACTACTGTGTACATGACACCTGTATCATACACAGGCTCTGTGACCCCTGAAGGTGGCCTGGGGGAGACAGAGACCCAGAGAGAGTCCTGAAGACAGCTCTGCAGGGTTCTTTTTTTTTTTTGCCATAATTTTATTGATAAACAAATATCAATGAGAGAGTTTCAAATCAAATCGGTAGGACAGTTTCAATAATTAACATACTGCATACATTCTTCTTAGTGGTTAATTGCTGTACAAGATGCGGACTTGAGATCCTATTTACAAACACCATTAGAACAAATCATTCTATTCATTAAGAG